CAAAACATACAAGTTTCACACAAGACAGATACAAACTTTATAAGATTTATATATATCTTTTCCATATGGGTAGGATTCAAATGTTTCATTTTATACACAAACTGTCAACATTTTTAGAAAAGTAGATTCTGTTATTTGAGGGATTTTACCCAGATTTGATGTATTTGTTTACTTACTTTGATCTCCTGGATCTTTCTTATCTCCTGAATTTGTATTTTTTCTAGTTTCCTTTTTCATGTTAATTTTTGAGACCTTTTAAAATGGAAAATGTCACCGTAATGAGGGAATACTTCTTCAAATGTGTGTGCTTGTCTTTTCTAAGCTGTTTAAGTGAGTTCTGTAAGTGAGCTTTCAAAATAAACTCAGGAGACTATGGCAACAGAACCTTGCCTTTCAGTGACATCGCTGACTGCCAGTAAACGTGTTTCTAAGTAGTTTAAAGAAAAACACTGTGGCAGACAAATCCATAATAATTCATATAATTTAATAAGAAGTCGATATACCTACCTATAAATTTTGTTTTTTAAATTGTGCATTTATTTTTTATATAGTGTAACTACTCGACCTTATTTCTCTTTTTAAATCTAGAGGCAACCACGTTTTTGAGGTTGTATCACCTTTCCATTTTCTATTAAAGTACATTAATTCATGTGTACTTTTTTTTCTAAAATAAAAACATCATAGTTTCCCAACACCCCGTTGTTGTGTGAATAGCTATGGGTTAACTAGCTATTGGTGTTAATTTACTGATTAACTTATAAAACACATGCTCAACTTACTGAAAAAGTCCCACAGTGGCTTCCATCCTTATGTTGGTTTGTCCAGTTTACGGCAGAACACATCAAACCTGGGGCCCATGTCAGCCCTACTTGCGGCCGTATATTTAAGTGAAGAAATATAAAGCAATTTGGCACTTGAAGAGCCTTTTTCGTTAGGGGGGGTTTTTTTTTTTTTTGGTTCCATTTTTAAATTGGTTTTTTAAAAAGTTTTAAAAAAAAAATTTATATGAAGGTCTAACCCAGGAGTCAGCAACCTTTCTGATGGTAAGTGCCATCTAAAATTTCCTTAGAAGTCAACGTGCCATATGATTGCATTAGCAATAAATTTAATAACGCTTTATATCAACAGTTACACACTATATAGAACAACTTTATAGAATTATATTTGTTCGCAGATGTTGGCATAGAGCAGATCAGCTATTTTGAAACAAAAAAGACACTTTTTTTTTATCAGTAACAAGAACTCCATAACAGCAAATGAACTGTTCAACAAAAAATCCAAATGCTATTTATGGTCTCCTGAAAACAATGATAAGAAAAATAAACTGGGCCAATATGGCATGTTTGTTAATACAGGGATGGACATGTTAATGTGATCTTTGGTCTCCCACTCAGAGACACAGGTCTCCGACTGTCCAGCATTCAGACGGCTACCTGAGGACACTGATGTGAGAGAAAATCTGCTCACACAGATATGTAGAGCCAAATACTGTTTCTGCAATGTTCTGAAGACAGTTAAACTTGTCAGGTAGTGATGTCCAGCAGGTGAAAATGCAAGCTGCATGAACACGCACAGCTGTGGATTCCAGCTGTTTTATTTGTGTTTTGATTTTGACCTAATACTTCATTCATTCGTTCATTCGTTGTGTGAATCTCAAATAAAAGTGAATAGCAGGGTCAGGGTTTTTCTGTTATCCTTGTATACAGATCCACTGCAGTTTGATGCGCTGCTCACTCAGAGATAAGATTATACATGTTCAGTCATTACGCTGACACCAGGAGCATAATGGCTCTTGTTGTCATTACGCTTTTTCTTATTTTAGGGGATAAAACCCCCTATAACTACAGATAGCAGCAACCAATATGTAAATTATTCAAATGCATTTGAATAATAAGGGTTGTATTATTCCTTTTAAGTTCTGGAAATTAAATACGTTTTGTGGTTAAAGTTTGCCAAGTGTTATCAGTTGCTATGAATTTGTATAAATAGCTTAAACTAATATTGTCTAATCATAAACGATTGGTGTTGTATATAATACAGCTGTAAAAAACGTGAAGGATTTAGCTTTGTGATTATTTTTGTTTTTTCAAAGCCGGTGGCGTAACTGGACAGACTCACAGCCTGTGAGACTTTTTACTTTCTGACTCAGTCTTACTCAAGGAAGCATGAAGCCTGAGTCATCAGTAAAAAGTATAGTATAATTGCGAGGTTCTGCTCCTGTGGAACTAGCTCCCAGTTTAGATTTGGAGACACATGCTGTCTCTACTTTTAAGATCAAACAAAACTTTCCTTTTTGAGTAAACCTCAGGTGACTCTGAACCATCCCTTAAGCTTTGCAGGCTCAGAGTGCAGGATGCACAGAGGTTCTCCTCCACTATGTAACTCTCAGTGCTGTCATCTTCTCTCTTCTCTTTCTTTGCATCTCCTCAACCAGTTACAAGCAGATACCTGCCCCACCCTGATCCTGGTTCTGTCAGAGATTTCTTCCTGTTAAAAAGGAGTTCTTTCTTTCCGTTGTTGCCAGTCACTTGCTCACAGGGGATTATCTGGTTGTTCGTTATGAATGTGCATTTGTGTTTGTAATAAATAATCTATTCCATATTTATTGATAGTAATTTAGTATTTATTCAGTAAAGTTAATTGTTGTTGTTATTACACTGATTAATTTTTATTTATTTATACAAATACAATTAAACATTTTAAAATATATTCTTTTTAAGTCAAGTTAAACCTTACCTTTGATCTTTGTATTCATTTATTTATTTTTGATATTGATTCCAACTATTAATTTTGCGCACTCAGCCAAAAGGCATCAGTATAAATAACAAAAATATCTTAAGAAGTTTCTTATGCTTCCACAAACTGTCACAAAAATATCACCAAATTTTAATTTGCTCTTATATTTATCAGTGAAAACTACAGAAAAAATCGATTTGTAGCACAATGCGAGTAAGAATGCAAACATACTTTTGGATCTGAGACGGGCTCAAACCTAATGGAGGTCATTAAACATGTAAATCAACAAAAAGTACAATTACATCACAGACCACAAAATATAAGGAGCCACCAACACACTGTAGAATAGTTTAATTCTCTTCGTCCTCTCAAAAAAAACAAAAACAAAAACAAAACCCAGATGCACCAGGCCATCCACTTGTTTAAATGACAAAAGTAACACTAAAGATGAGACCTGTTGCCATCCTTGTGTAATTTGGCGTACTTGAACCTTTTTCCATCTCCGGTCTTCACACCCACCCCTCCACGCCATTTCTGATGAGGCGTCAGTGAACAGATCAGCTGAAGGGCCAGATGAATCTCTCAGGTTCGGTGTCAGCTCTGTTGGATTTTTACCTGTTTCTTAAAGACATGACTTTCATATAGTGTTCTTTTCTTCCATTTCCTTGAACTTCCTCAATTCTGTTCATTGTGAGATGGACAGAATCAACTATCTGAGGCATGCTAAGATATGTTAGCATTAGGTTAATTTTCAGTTTACTGAGCCACTTGGGAATTACCTAAGGTAACACAGTTTACCTTTTAAACTGTGTTACCATTGGCATTTTTTATAGATTCAACCAAAAAAAGGAAACAAATGATGTGTTTTCATGACAGGATGCTACTAACAAAGTGCCAAAGATACAATTTAAAAATGGGTCTTTGCTAAGTTGTCTGAGCGTAGACAAAACACTGGTTCATCCCTTGAATTAGCTGCCTTTGAATTACTCATAGGTCAGTGTTAAGTGACTTATGAGTGACCTAAAAGAAACATTTCACTGAAAATGAGTGAAAAGTCACCCAATGTCAAAAGAAAAACAAAAGAAAGCCAAGAGAACTATTAGTTAACACAGCAGTCTGTGCCCTGATGCACTGGATTATAGTATTAGTGAGAGGTACTCACATCTCATCAGTGGTTTGGTATCTGATAGTCTGGTGTTATATTTTGTACCACAATGAGAAAAGGTAATTAAAACTGACAATGGACCAGCTGTCCCACTAGCGAGTAGATTCACAGTACACTTCCATTTTTTTTAACCAACCAGAATAGGTCAAGGTCGGCTGTGCAGCAGGCAGGAATTGAACCTAAAACGCCAGACTTGGGAAACAAGAGGTAAACTTAGAAGCAGCTTTATTGCTTAGCTTTTACCAAAGCACAAAATAATAACAGCTCAACTAATTCTCATTCACACAATGAGGAGGGAACCAACCATGAGGGAGAACAAAAAGAGCAGATTGAACAGAAGACAATATGTCCACATAGGATGATGAGGAAAATACTAAAGGTGAGCAGATCCATCCAGATATTGACAGTATTAATACCAACGCTGGAAATGGTATCAGACTGAGAGTATCGTGATAGGATTGATCCTTTGTTTCTGTCTTCTAAGTTCAGCATGTAGCTCACTGAATGTCTTCAATTAGTTGTTTTTAGGAAATAAATAGATATACCTCAGACATGCACTATGAAAAATATCTGAACCTTTTTGTGTTGACACATCTATTTTATTTATATCCCATAGGACATTTAAACAACAGAAGTTGACCCAGAGTGCTTTAAAAACAGGCACATATACATTTCATGTTAAAAAAAAAACAAAAAAAACCAAACAGTTTCAAATACATGAAAAGCTGAATGGTGTGTTTTGTTGTGCTAACTAATTATTGTGGAAATTAAAAATCACAGTGACTTAGTGGTTGTTAAAATTTAGAATTCAATGCAAATTCATGATGCTTCATCTCATAAATAATTACACACTGCTCTTTGATACATAAGCTGCTTATTAAAAGTTAAATGTATTGGTATTGGCAATACTAGCCATTTATTTTATTTTGGCATTGGATTAATACCAAAATTTAAAGTATCGCACACCACCACTGAATATAAAGCACAAGAGACAAGAGGCCACCAGATGAAAACAACTACCAGTGAGACCAAGCCTCAGACATAATAACTTGACATAGAGACTCAAAACACAGAGGCAAGACTGAACAAACAGAAAGGGAATGCAACAAAGACCATCAAGGAGCTAAAGGCACAGATACAGGTAATTGATGTGAGTGAAGTTGCCCCCCCCCCAACACCCTCTACAAATCAAACAAATTTGATGTCAAATGTTTGTGCTACATTTGTGTTGAAACTTTTATTAATATCTTTAAGACATAATCCGTGCAAATTAACATTTTTGCACCACAAGCATAGCACAAAGGTTTGATATCAATTTTGTTTGATTTGAAGAGGGTGGGGGGCCAACTTCACTCAGGGACCATGGCCACACAAAATCATACGGTGGACGGCGTTGGATGTAACGTTTTTCAAAGTAACATGCTTCTGTAATCACATTACATTTTTTAATAGTGTGGTAATGTAACAAATGCTGTTTTTCAAAGGTTTTTCAAGTATCTGCATGGCAGGTGAATAGAAAGAAAAGAAACATTTGCCCTTTTATTTCTGCTCACTTACAATTTGAGTCATGTGCAGGAACGAGGAAAATAGTGGAGCAATCTTGAAACTTGAAGTGCCATCATATTATGAACCGCACTCTGGCCTTTTGTTCTGACAGCAGCTCTTTTGGTCCATTTTGGAAAAGAACACTGTGTATCCACCTGCTCAGTCTGTGCTAAAAACAAGTACTCTGCTAAGCTCATTACTGGTATGCTTGAAAATCTGCCCTCACACAGCTCTATCTCCACTCATCTATCATACAGTCCTCCTGTACAGGTTTTTTTTAATGTCTCATTTAAAGGCTGGTGACAGTGGCAATGTGTTTAAGATACATGCAGATACAGCCGCTAATAAAGGACTACAGTTCATCTCAACTGCGTCTCAGTCAGTTGGTCCTCTGGTTACCGCCCACTGAAACAGCAGTGTCCCTTTCTCGCTCTGGGGTGCATGTAATGGCTACTTAATTGCAGAACTGAGGACTGAT